ACGTCGGCCATTACTTTGGAAACAATGTCTGTCAAAAGATTTGCTTTGTAAACATTAGCACACACGTCAGCAGCGTACACCAATGGGCAAATAGTAGACGCTAAATTAACGAATCAGAGCGCGCGCTTTGCTTTAGTTATGTTATAAACATGTTTGCGCCGTTGTCTTGTTTAAACTCCGTTTCACTTTTGTGGCTGCGCTGCATACATACATAAAACTTTATGTAGTTCAGGTGCTGATCACCGCTGGAGCCAATATAGTGCTCTACAATGAAGGAGCTGTTATAACGAATTATGTTGAGAGATTACTCAGATCTTGAGTACATGGAAACTAGTGCGTATATGGAAACTAACTGATGAGTGGACTAACTTTATGTTAGCCCACGAAACAGAGCTGTATTAAACTCCATATGTACTCAAGATCTGAATAGTCTCTCAACATAATTCGTTAAAACTTTATGTATGTATGTAGAGCTGTTACTTCTGCAGCTGCAGAGCTATTACTTTTTAACTTTCGTAAGGATAAAACAGTTGCCGAAGAAGCAAATTCTCAGTCTTCTCAGCTAGATGAATAAAATATAAACAAGCTCGAAGAAGAATCCAAGCCCCAAAACACGAAAAAAAAACTTTTTGTCGTATGGAAAAGTTTATTGGTGGTTGGTGGAATCGATTGCAAACTGCATTCAGTAAGCTCGACAGAATTGTGAAATGAAGTGAAGCTCCATGCTCGATGACGAAGTGAATGTAAGCTTGTTTTTGTCTGCGAAGCGCTCAGTTCAGTTTGAGAAATTTGAAGCACAACAGTCATCGTTCATTTTGGATTTGTGTTTTAGGAAAACTCGGGCGAAGAATCCAAATGGCTATCGTGACGTCATCAATTTCGAAAAGCTCAATTTTCAAAATGTCCACTCTAAAACGCAAAGCCAGCGTTTTCAAATTCCTCCCTGTGACTGAGTGGGTTCACTTGGCTTCCAAGTACTCAGAACTCAGCTTGAAAGCGGCAAAACTATGTTTTCCACACTGCAACTGTCTCCTTGCGTAAACGTGAGCAATGCATCACGACTCTGTCAAATGATACATGACAAAGGCTTCGTCTCATGTACTCTTCTTTACAACCTTTTTCTTTCATTGACCGAGCTACTTAATGAGGACTTACACTTCCATAAATTAGAGAATATCTGTATTGATCATTCCTGCTGACTGCGATTTACAGGATTTTGCAAGTGAAGTTCAGAAGTTGTTTGGAAAGGAAGGCGAAAAACTTAAAGATGTTAAGCTCACTGTAAGTGTACATCAATATTCAGTTTGCGGCTTACTCTGTAATCTTTTTGTGATGATGTGTTCCTCCTATGATTCTTCGCTCTGGAAGATATACTGAAATCAGTGTTAACTTAATCGTCTGGAGCAAATACTCTCGAAACGGATGCTGGACGGATGGAAAATAGGCGAAGCAGGCAGAGAGTTGTTAATCTGTAAACCTTTCATTGCTTGCAATTTTGTGTGTTGTATGATCGAGGGTCTCTTTTTGCATGGTTCCTTTAAGTCTGAACAAAGGTTGTTCTTCAAAATTGAAACGATTTGAATTAACTTTATTGAGACCACACTTGTTGACAATTTTGAACGTAAGAACAGTCTCTTTGATCTTTATAACTGTATAATGAAGTAACGATGTTTTGTTTTTCGCCTATCAAGCACTTTTTAAATTGGTGTAAAGAAATTCAGGGGAAGATGGCAGCGTACAGGGCCCGCGTCTCTCCTCCGGGAAATCTGAAAGAGTACTCTCCTTGGTTATTTCGTTTTCAGTCAAGTGAATACACGCACACATTAGAGATTCCAGGTAAATGACGCATGTCGTATTAATCTTGATCTTTAGAAATAAAACATGGAATGTTTCACCCAAGGAATGGAATAAAGCAGTCGAAAAACTCCTAAACATCTTTAAGTACATTGGACTAAAAAGG